TCTATAATTTGTTGGTGTTTGCATGGGTGAAAGTCATTGATTTCTGCATATTAATTTTGTTCTCCATAACCTCACTGAATTCTCTCATATATACAGTGCGTTTTCAGTTGATTCTCTTGGATTTTCTAGATATACAGGGATAGCTGCAAATACTGATACTTGTCTTTATCTTTCCGTTTTTTTACCCTTCTCTTGTCTGCTTCCAATGGGTAGTAATTTATTACGATGTTAAACAAGAGTGGTGAAGTGGTATCTCTTTTATCCCTGGCATCAGGGGGAATACATATGGTGTTTTCCTATTAAGTATGGTGCTGGCTATTGGGCTTATTTTATAAATCTGTATTGGCTAGCTTTCTCCACAGAAACAGAAGCAGCAGGATGGTTCTGTTTCTAAAAGAAGATATATTATGAGGAATTGGCTTATACAATTATGGAATCTGCAAGCTGGAGACCGAGGAAAGCCAGTGGTGAAATTCGGTCCACATCTGAAAGCTTGAGAATCAGGGGAGCCAAGGATGTAAAGCCCAGTCCACATATATGCATTTTTTTTCTGACATATGTACACGTGTATAGATATAGTGTGTGTCTTTTTTTATTCTTATCTTGAGTGCCTTTTATCAGTTCAATTATTTGAGTAATGTCAAATATCTTTTCAACATCTGAGATGATTATTTGATTTTCTCTTTCAATGTATGATTAAGATAAATTTTCTTAATATATTTCCCAATATTAAAGTATCCCAGAATAGTTTTCCTGGAGTATATCCCACTTGCTTATGGTGTATGTATGATTCTTAATGCCCCACTAATTTGTTTTTGTTGTTGCTGACAATTTATTTGGGATTTTTGCATCTAAATGAGTGTCTACATTAATAAATGTTATCTTTTTTTGTGTACTGTTGGTTTTTGTTACCAATGTTGTATTTACTTTTTATTATGAATTTAGAAGTTTTCAAATTTGAATTTATTTACTTGGAACTGAGAGAAAGAGTCTTTTGTGATTCTTTTGTTTTCTTCAGTTCCTGAATTATTTCCCACAAACTAGTTTTTTATTGTTTTTATAAGCTCTCCAACTTTTTTCTTGATTAGGCAATCTAGTAATCGATCTAGTTTTTGCTTTTGCTTTTTGGTTTATTGTTTGTTTATTTTTTCCTAAGATCCAGCTTTTGAATCTGTTTGTTGGTCCTACTATTTTTCTGTTTTTTTTTTTTTTTTTCCTAACTCATTAATTTCTGCTTTTGTCTTTACAAAGTCTTCCCTATTGTTTCCTTCGGGGTATTTTGTTTATTCTCTTTCTAACTTCTTGAATTGTATACTTATTTATTTTCATTCTTTCTTACTTTCTGATATATGTATGGGAAGTTATCAATCTATAAGAATTAAAGGGTATAAATGTACACACTTCGAAGGTGTAACATGTCATAGAGACCAAGAAGAGTCTGTTCCCTGCTCTCTCTCTTTGGTGACTCTCACAGTATTAGGCACGTACTATGTTCCCAATAATTATTTGATTCAACAAATGCAAAGTAAACAGATCCATGGCAGAAGAAAGTGCCCCCTTTTCTTGCCCTTCTACCCTGCAATACAAGTTTTGTTGCATCATTGTTGTTAGTAAGCCCATGGGCTTTTGCTTCAGCAGAAACACTGGAGTGCTTTAGCCAAGATGATTCCTCGCCAGCCAAGGATCCTGAAGATTGACTGCTTGATTTCTCAACAGGAAAATATTTTGATAAACTGTTTGAGTTGGCGGCAATGCCTCCAGATTCCTTGCCCAAGGGCACAGGGTTTAGGTCCATCTGTAGATCCATTCAATAATAATGACAGCTTGTATTACAGAGGACTTAGTTTGGAGGAGTCTGGTGTTCCTTAAACAGACTGTGTCTTTCACCCTCTTACCATCCCAGAGAGGTAGAAGGAAGAACATCAGGGACATAAGGAGAAACTAGAATCCCATCTCTTGCTAAGAATTTTTATCTCCTGTCAATGATGGTCTATAACCTTTTTACACTAAATATGGTCATTTAAAATAATATATATTGTTATATATTATTATTTAACATACACGTGTATATATTATAAAATCAGCTTTGAGGCATAATCTATATACAATTTACCAATTTGAAGTGCACAATTCCGTGAGATTTAACAAATGTATACAGTTATGAAAGCATCATAAACATCCATTTTCATCATCCCAAAGAGAACTGTCATGTCCCTTCGCAGTCAATACAATTACCTAAATTCCTGGCAACCACAGAAATAACCTCTTTCTTATCACTACACTTTTTTTAAATTTCATGTAAATGAAATCGTATAGTATGTAATCTTTGTGACTGCTTTCTTTCACTTAGCATCAGTTCCTTTAAAATCCATCCAGGTTGTTGTATCCATCAGTAGTTTGTTACATTCTTATGCTAAGATGTATTCCATTGTGTGGATATACCAGTTTGTATAAATATTCACCAGTTGATGGTTATTTGGATTCTTCACAGTTCTGGGTATTTTAAATAATGCTGCCATGTCCATTCACACAAGAATCTTTTCGTGAACATAGGTTTTCATGACTTTTAGGTAAATATCTAGAAGTAGAATTGTAGTATGATATGTGTATATTTAACTTTATAAGAAACAAATTATTTCCCCAAATGGCTGTGCCATTTGCATTCCCACCAGCAAAGAGAGTTCCAGTTCTTCCACATCCTCATCAACACTTAATTTTAGCTATTCTAATGAGAATTAAGTGGTATCTCATTGTGGATTTAATTCACATTTCCTTAAAAAATAATAGTGATGTGAATTTTCATGTACTTTGCCATTAGTATATCTTCTTTGGTGAAGTGTCTGTTCAAATCTTTTGCCAACTTTTTAATTGGGTTGTCATTTTATTATTGAATTGTAAGAGTTCTTTATATATTCTGGATACCAGATTTAAATTAGATGCATGTTTTGCAAATATTTTTCTCAGTCTGTTGGTTGCCTTTTCATTTTATTAACAATGTTGTTGAAAAGCAAAAGTGTTTGATTTTGACAAAGTTCAATTTATCAGTGTTTTATAGTGTATGCTTATATATCCTATTTAATAAATCTGACTAATTCAAGTACACAAAGATTTTCTCCTCTATTTCCTCTAGAATTTTTATAGCTTCAACATTAGATTTAGGCCTGTGATCCATTTTGAGTTAATTTTTGTATATTATTGGGGTAAAGGTCAAGGTTTATTATTTTCATATATAGGTATTCAAGTGTTCCAGCATCATTTGTTATAAAAATTGTCAATTTGCACCTTGTTGAAGATCGATGATCATATATGTTGGATTCTTTGTGATTATCTGTATAGATATTGGGTTGTCTGCAATACAAGTGACTCTTTTTCTTCTTTATTTCACTGTATGTTTTTATTTATTTTTCTCCCCTTATTAAATTGGCTAGGACCTCCAGTACAATGTTGAATAGAAGTGATGAGGGCAGGCATTTTTGGCTAATTCTCAAATTTAAGGGAAAACATTCAGTTCTTCATCACCAAAAGGGATTTGTTGCCACAGAAGACCTGAAGGATGTTTAAGGCAAGATGTTTATGAGTAAGCCCAAATAAGCCTATGCAGAGAGAGGATGTAGGACCTGAATCTTTTTACCACCCATAAGAAGAAATACTCTGACTCTCATGTCCCTCTTGCCACCAACTTATGATAAATTTGCCCATACTCCTTTCCTAAGCTGAGACCTGGAGAAGCTAGTTTAGTATCTCAAGGTCACCTGGTAATCCAGTGGCGCAATGAGGAACAGATTCCAGATAAAAAATTTCAGGCTCTTAAACTATGAAGCTGGGTTGGATCATCATGATGGTCTATGAGCCTGTGTAGGAGATCTCATGTCTAGGTAGCTCCAACTCAGCTCCCTGTGAGAACTTTAGGTACCCTTACCCTCTTCATCTCTGTCCTTTCTCCATGGCCCTGTAGGGGACCAGGACAAGCTATCCCAAAATGTGCCACCATGGCATATTGATTATTTTGAATTGAAGCTACGTGGGAAATGGCTGATGCAAGAACACCCATACCCTCCTCTGTCCCCTGAAAGCAGGAAACAAATCTCCCACATGAAAGATACCCACCCTGTACCAAAAAGTAAAAAGACATCCTTATTGGCAGAGATAGAAACTTTAAAGCTGAGAAAGCTGTAGAAACAAACCTTGATACTTTTTACTAATCTATTATTTCAGCTCAAATTCTGTTTAGAATTCCTTACTAATAAAGCTCTCAAACATCTGTCAATTCCTCATAAATTTATTATCTCTCTCTCTCTCTCTCTAAAATGTATAAAAACGGTCTGCTTTGATCATTTCTTTGGGTCTCAGTTTCATTGTATGGCCTTTGTGCACATGTAATAAAACTTTCATTTTTTCCTGTTAATCTGACTCATGTCAATTTAATTCCTAAACCAGCTGGAAGAAGCCTGGAGGGTAAAATAAATGTTTTCCTGCCCTACAGGCTTTATTTTGATATAGTTACTTCTCCCTACCATTGTGGTAAAGAGGCAGCATCAAGGCTAAAATAACTTTTCCCAACCATGCCCCTGCCTCATATTTCCATTTAGAAAACTCAGAAATAGGTCCTAAGGCTGAAATCTTTGTCACAGAGGGTTTTTTTTTTTTCTCCCTTGATAATTGTCAACCAAAGCTTCCTCACTGCTGGAATCAATACTGCCCCAAATGGCTAACTTCTGAGGCCATTCACACAATAAAGAAGTGATTCCACAGAGGTTGCTAGCATGGAGATCATCATACTGAAGCACAAAAATCTCACACAATCGAAACTATGTAGCCCATTTTTAGAGGCTTGGATGCTGCTTGGAATAATCTCTAAGGTTAACTAGGCCATTTGCACGTTCAGAAGAAATACCTTCTTGCTTGTTAGGAAAGAGATATTGTTGGATTTTAGCAAGCATTTTGTCCTTTGTTACTAGAAGCTTTCCCAGTCAGGCAGAGGGCTAGTTAATTAGGAAGGCTGAGGTCACAAGCTGGTTTATTGGAACAGTAGCTGCTAAATGACAGATTTATTGTTTATCAGGCATCTTGAAGGTGATGTTTTGGTGTTCAGCTTCTCCTTATCCAAGATTTGGGGATATTACCACACTCTCAATCTTGCACCATCCTTGTTAGGATCTTGTTCAATGTATAATGGTGGTATAGCGGTTTAAGGTGAGAGTAGATCTGTTCCCTGGGCCTCATATGCTTGAAGACCTATGGTCATCAAACTTTCTCTCTTCTGGCAAGGCAGAGAGGGATAAGAGAAAGCTGATGAAAATATCACAATTTTGTTTCAATTAGTAAGTCAGTCTGGTCAACAAGAAAGATGCCTACAGATTTTAATTGGTCTCAGGGGAGGAGATCAGAATGTTCTAAGATGTCCTTGCTCACCCTGATATTGCATTATCTGGGCCACAGGGCAGCTGCAATCTTTCCTCCAGGGCTCAGGATGTCTGCCTGAAAATAAAATTCAAACTTTAAGTATTAACCTTTTTACCACCATGTTGCTTCAAAACAGATATTCTTTTTTTTAAAATTTTTTATTATTATATTAATCACCATACATTCCATCATTAGTTTTTGATGTAGTGTTCCATGATTCATTGTTTGTGCATAACACCCAGTGCTCCATGCAGAACATGCCCTCTTTAATACCCATCACCGGGCTAACCCATCCTCCCACCCCCCCTCCCCTCTAGAACCCTCAGTTTGTTTTTCAGAGTCCATCGTCTCTCATGGTTCGTCTCCCCCTCCGATTTCCCCCCCTTCGTTCTTCCCCTCCTCCTGCTATCTTCTTCTTTTTTTTTCTTAACATATATTGCATTATTTGCAAAACAGATATTCTTAAGTGGAATTAGCGTTAGACATGCAAAGTCTGTCCCATTTCTAAACAGGCTGATCTTATTCCTAGAATACTAACCCCAGAGGACACAAATATTGGGGGAGAGGAAATTCCATCCAGGAAGAGTGATCAGAAATAGCTTAGATGAAATTGAGGTCTGTGTTCTCATGGTAATTTCACTCATAATTCCAGAAGCCAATCCCTTCACTTCTCTGTGCCTTGGATTCTCCATCAATATAATGGGGATGCTTATGTTCTCCCAGAAAATGACTTGTATTTGCAATCATCAAATCCATGGCACAAATCCTGACTTGTTCTCGGTTATGAAAAGTTTCACTATCAAATGATAGCATCTATTCTAAGAGCTTCTCTCCTACCTACAATTTCACATGAAACTCATACGCTGTATTAGTTAGGGTAAGCTAAGTTTTGCTGTGACAACAAACCTTCAGATCCCTAAGGCTTATTCCTCACTTACACTACAGTCTGATATAGGCCATTCTGCTTTGCTTGGTGGCTACTTTTTAACAGTGGTCAGATTTGAGTTGCTTCTAGTACAACTTTGCTGTCTCTGGGTTCTTTGCTTCCAGCCATAGTGGCAGGAGAGAGAGCATGCATGGAGCTCATGTCCCCTTTTTACTGCCCCAGACAGCAAATATCACACAATGCTTCACTCACACTCACTCCCATGAACCAGAATCAGTCACATGACCCCGTCACAAATGCAAGGGAGGCTGGGAAATATGGGGGAGCTTGTAGAATATTTGGAGAGCACTAGCGTTTATGTCACCTGTTATTATTTGTTTTGTTATGTCCAACCCAGGCAGGGATTCAAAAATGAGGAAAAGTCCATTCGAAAAACTTGCCAGGTACTACCAGTTAGAGATACAAAGATAAATAAGACTCAGGTCCAGCTGAGGAATTCTTAATTGGGGAATGGGGGTGGGGAAGGCTGCACAAGAGGAAATGACTGGGCTATACGTAATAGCCTGGAGGTATAAATGAAATTTATGGAAGGCAGAGGCAGGAGTGATGAACCTTGTAATAGTCAGGCAAGGCTCTATAAAAGAATGGACTTGAAAGGTGGTCCTCTGGTTCTTGAAGGAGAGCTAGGAGTTCACCAGGTGGTGGTGTTGGGATGAATGGATCCCGTAGTAGAGAAAAAGAAGCTTAGAGTCAGACTTCCTTTCTTTTCCAGCTGAAGTCAACAGGAGACACTCCTTCAGTCCACCGGGTTAAGCCTCTTTGAAAACAGTGAGTTCATAAACGCGAAGGCCTCCAGTTCACAGCACCCCAAATAACGGGTAAAAATGAGAAGAGAGAAAATAGATGGAATAAAGATTTTGAAGACAGTGGAGGAGAGGCCCTCACAAGTTACTCCCTGCTAGGGTGGCTCAATAAAATTTTGGTTGGCACCAGTGGCCTGTCTGCTGTGGTATTCAATTATTGGGCAGAAAAGCTCTGAGAGTAATGATTGCTGCCTTTGCCGGAGGGTCCCTCTCACTCATTATTTGCCACCCCTATCACCCTGGAAGACTGACATTTAGGCCTAAGAAAATAGGATCCAAACCCAAAAACATTATTTCCAGAAAATGACAGGATATAGAATAAACCCTCTGGAGTGTACTGCCCCATCAGGGGCTTGAACAGCTACTTTTGATGTGGGGCCTTTCAGAAAAGGTTACTAGTCATAAGACCTGGCATTTGCATAGCATTTAATCATTTGCAAAGCACTTTTAAATATCCATTAGGTGGGGGCGCCTGGGTGGCTCAGTTGGTTAAGCGACTGCCTTCGGCTCAGGTCATGATCCTGGAGTCCCGGGATCGAGTCCCGCATCGGGCTCCCTGCTCGGCAGGGAGTCTGCTTCTCCCTCTGACCCTCCTCCCTCTCATGCTCTCTGTCTCTCATTCTCTCTCTGTCAAATAAATAAATAAAATCTTAAAAAAAAAAAAGATGTTTAAAAAAATAAAAAAATAAATAAATAAATATCCATTAGGTGAGCCTCTAAAAAAAATGAAGACCAGTGTTGAGAAGGATGTGGGGAGCTCGTCACTTCTTTGCATTATCGGAAGAAAATGTAAATCGTTGTAGCCTTTTTGGAGGGCAATTTGGCAAACCTAAGCAATTACACCTTTAGGGCTTTATCCTCTAACTACATTTGTGCAAAAGCTAAAGAGAAACATACAAGCATGATAATGTAAAATAGAAAAAGGTGAGGGCAAAACTTACTTCCAATTGGGGAATATCCAAAAAATTCATTATATGCTGGAACTAGGAAACAATACATATCTATTAGAAAATGAGAGAAATTTGAGGCCTTGCTATGGAAGAGTATCCATGATAAATTACTTAGTAGAAGTCCCAAGATGTGCAGTGTGTGTGTGTGTGTGTGTGTGTGTGATTTGTATAAGCACAGGTATTACTTCTACAATATTCAGTGGTGACCTCTTGGGAGTGGGCTTGAGGTTGAGAGGGACATTATATATGTACTTTACATAATTCCTTATGAGAACACAAAACTGACCTCTTGCCCTGCTTTATAAGTGTGTATATCACCCTTAACAAGACAGGCAGGAGGAAAGCAAACAACAATAAGCACTAGGAGGGTTACCCTGTCCCCATGAAGTCCCCCAAATAAAGGAGATCTTAGGCCAGTTGCCGTAAGTTCCAAATTCCTTACCGAACAGCATCATCTACCAACAGTAGCTGGTGCTCAGGGATACAAGGGATGCAAGAACACCTGACTCCAGGGTCCCAAACCGGCCAGGTCTGGTCACTTGCCGCTGACAAAACCCAAAGGCAGAAAAACAAACAGTGGTGAAACAAGAAAGGGATTTATTTCAGTGAGGCCAACACTGGGAAAACAGTGGACCAACCTCGCAGACTGTCTCCAAAATGCAGAAAATATTTCCAGGTATATTAGGAAAACATGGGGCAAAAGTAGGTGCGTACCTGCAGGGAGGCAGTGAAGGTTCAATCAATCATGGCAGAGTCCGTCACAGGCGGGCAGGGTCTTGCTGGCTCAGGGCGTTCCTGGCAGCTGGAGGGCAGAGTTTTGGTTCCCATCTGGGGATGCTTTGCCCACAGGGTCTTCCGCCTGAGCCAAGGGACAAGCTGGAAACAAGAACCCAACTAAAATGTTTGAGGTCAAAATGGAGGCAGCCAAAGTCCTCTTCCACCTTGACCTTTCCAATGGCTGATACCTGTGTGCGACTTTGCCATGTGCTAGCCATTTGTTAAAATGGCTCTTTTCCCAGTGTGAGCAGACAACCTGTAATCTGTGTCTTTTCTTTACATACCTGGAGTATATATTCTTTAACCCGGTGAACTATCCTAGAACTATAGTTCTCAATCATTGCACATCAGAATCACATGGGGAGGTTTTAAAAACGATTCATGTGTAGGTTCCATTCCCAGAGATCCTGATTTAATTAGTCTGGGGTGTCAGGGCACCAAGACTTTAAAATTTCCCCAAGAAATTCCAATACACAACCAAGGTTGAGGACCACTGTTCTCAAATTTAGACTCACTTGTGCAAGTAAATGACTATCATTTTCTAAATGCTTTTGTCTCTACACATTCTTTTCAGCAATTTTTCCCGCAAACTATTTACAGCCACCATGTATTATTTTAAAATTACAGAAAAAAAGAAAAATGTTCTTGATACAAAAAAAAATCATATTGCTAATTGATTTTGGAAAGTTCTAGATTTTCTCAATACTGTGTGCGGTAGATGTAAATGAATGCATCCTCTCCACTTACCAGTGAGGAGATTGAGGCACGGAGGGGATGATGGGATTCACCGAATTCTGCATCAACCAAACAAAGAATGGGATTCATACCTATGTCATCTCAGTATAGACCTGGACCATCCACAGAATGCCCGCTCCGGCACCGCTGGGCTAGGATGGGGCCATAGATGAGACTCCTTGCCAACCAGCTCCAGGAAGTTGGGAGAAGAGAAAAATCTAGAGGCGGTCACTCCAGTTAAAAGTGACAAAATTCAGGCTTCAGGTCCTGCTCTTCCACTGTCAGCCGTGTGACAATCTCCTGACATCTCTGGCCTCCAGCTTTCCAACCTTCCTTATCCTGTATCCCTCCCTGCCCAGACTCCCCTCTATGCTGTTCTGTATGGGGCATCCATGGGCCACAGGTAGCTATTGAGCCCTTGAAATGTGCCGAGTATGACTGAGGTAATAAATTTTTAGTTTGTTTGTTTTAAAGATTTTATTTATTTATTTATTTATTTATTTATTTATTTATTTGAGATAGAGCAGGCGCGCGCGCATGCGCACGCACGAGAGAGAGAGAGAGAGAGAGAGAGAGAGCACAAGCAGGAGAGAGGGGCAGAGGGAGAGGGAGAAGCAGGCTCCCCGCTGAGCAGGGAACCCGATGCGGGGCTCGATCCCAGGACTCTGGATCATGACCTGAGCCGAAGGCAGACGCTTAGCCGACAGAGCCACCCAGGCCCCCCTTCGGTTTGTTTTAAATTTAAATGACTTCAGACAAAAATGTATGTAGCCACATCCGGCTAGCAGTGGGGTAGTAAACAGTGCTGTTCAGAGTGGTTTTGGAGAACACCCCACCCACCCTGAGAATGACT